GGGTTCGGGCGCGTGAAGAGGCCAAAGGAACAAACGACCCGGCCTGAAGCTTCGAAAAGGGACGCGTGGCCATGTTTTTTTTTTGGCTTTAAAGAGTTGGAACCACCTCAAAAGTGATGGACATGAATCCCCACCGAATTTTGATGTCCACCATTTCGGGTCCCTTCTTAGAATTTCATACCCATGTTTGTGTCCCGAAAAAAAATAAATAAGGTCCCTGATATAAAAACTCATACATACCCATGTAGGGACCCGGAAGAAGAAAAAAGAAAAAGAAAACACAAACACACACACACACACACCAAAAAAAAAAACGGGCCACGGGCGCTCGCTCCTTGAGCTCGTGCTGTTGCAGAATGTCCTGGACGCTTGCGAGTCCTAGCCTGCAGCTTTTACGCACCACATCCAATCCTCATTTTGGACTGGGTGTGGTTGGTTGGGGGCTTGACCTTCTGATTGGTGTTGGTGAGCTGGGTGTGGCTCAAAATGTCCAGAGCCAGGGCAAGCCGTAGGTCTTAGTCGTTGCTTGCATTTTCCAAGCTGCGATTTTGGTGCACATGTTTGTGGTTGCCACAGCCATACGACAAGTAGGGAAACAAGACCAGTCCTGTAGTTTTACTGCAAGGCGCCCTACCTGTTTCGTGGTCGCATGCTTTTCCCCGCGAATGAACTCGAGAAATCTCGGCTGTCCTGCATGTAGCAAATCTTTGGCCACGCGAAGGTCAGGAAGGTGTAGGTGCACACATCCTGACCATCTGACCCCCCCATGGGGTACCCCACTCACGCACCTTTATGCAGGTGGCGTGAAGGGGAGCTTGGGGAGCTTGGGGATGAAATGGTGTGAACAAATGCCGAACAAATGCTGGGTTGAGGGGATTTTCTCCAACTCAGGCGTTCTTGGTAGGTGCTTGGGGGGAGGTTCCCTGAGGTTCCAGGCTGTCAGGGAGGAACTTCTTGCGTCGGAGAGCCTTCCGGAAGCCAGCAAACTGCGTCGACCCGGGGACCAACTGGACCTGGGTGCATGCTCCCAAAACACAGAGGAGCCCCATGGGGTAGCATACCAAGGCAAATAACCACGCAGATGGAAAAAACAACCGAACGCCGAACGCCAAACATCTTTGGAGGCCGTGGTTGACGCAACCCCCACCCAGGTCCTCCAGTAGAGAGGTTAGCATAAGGGTACCTTTTTTCTGTAGGGGGAACCCTCCCCCCAAAAAAGGGTAACAGGGCACTACTGGGCCTAGCCACAATGGCGTGTTTTTTAGAAACAACAAGCATGACGCCTCTCAGCTTCGATTGCCATCCGCTCAAAGAGGTGTCCTCCAAAAAGTCGGGAGCAGCCAGAAGGAACCTTGGGCGCCGAAAGGGAGGGGCAGACCAGGTGAACTTCAGCGAAATGGGAATGAATGGGCACAAACAGCTAGTGCACATATGGCCATGGCTCAAAATCCAAAGCGGTTAGCTTCCAGTAAACATCAACCAATCCAACCACTAAAATCGGTTCGAAAATGGGTGGTGAATTCACCTACCGCAAAATGGGATCCCATTGGGTTTGACCCACAGCAATGTGTCAAAACAATTTGGACCCTTAAAATTTCGGCACCCCTCTGTCATGATCTCATCTCAAAAGGCCTTTAATTCATTTCACTCAGGGCCCCCTGCTTTTGTGCAATCCATCGAACCGGATGAGAACAACCTCCTTGACGGGGAGTGAGGCGACACCACCATGGGAGTCCTTTTGCTTGAGAATAACTCACGGATCAAGCGGACACAAAATATGGGCGCAACACTATGGGCGCAAAAATATGGGCGGGCAACTGGTTGTTCCTAGATCAGGCAACTATGGGCACAACACTTTGCCTTTCAGCTGGGCAAAAAGAAGCCAATGAACAAGTGCTAAGGTGCTCGGATGGGTTCAGCTCCCCACTCCCCCCCCACAGACCTTCCTGGCCATGTTCAGAGGTACCCGGCTCCGAGAAGGGCATGATACATGGCCCGTTTGTGGTTGAACTTAGGCGGTGGTTTCAGCTTTCTCACAAAATGTGTCTTGGAACCATAGGCGTGACGTGGCGCATCATGGCTGGGTGAAGGATGACAAAAGAGGAGCTCGGTTTACACTATAGGTCCTCCAGTAGAGAGCTTAGAATAAGGGTTCCAACTATTCTTTTCTGTAGTCTATTTTAGTAGGGGAACCCTCCCCCCAAACAAGGGGAGAGAAAGGGCACTGGGGGACCGAGGGCACCGACTCGTTGGGTCCAAGCCGCAGCTGGTTCTGCGGCACCTGCTTTTCGGCGGTCCTCTCCAAGCAGTCCGCCAAGTCCAGCAGTCGGTCCATGATCTGGCGCTTCAGGGGACTCAGCATGTCGGTATGCGCGTAGTGCGGGACTCGAATTACGGGCGAGGGGAAAAAAACAAAAACCGGAAGAAGATATTCAACAATTCGGAGTCCTTGCTTCCAACGGTCCCTTGGTAGACCAGGGTTGATTTGGGAGGAGGGGTTGCCTTTCCCAAAAGGCAAACTACCACCAGCACCCCCCAACCGCCCCTTTTTGGAGAGTTGAGATTTTGGACATGGGGAAAAACAAACGTTGGGGGGTAGTGTCAGCTGTTCTTTTGGAGTTCATGGAGATCAACCTGTGTTTTGTCCACGCATTCTGGCTGGAGGAACCGAGAGATGGGTCTACAGGATGGGTCTACAGATACATCGTGTCTGAAATGTTTTCGCACATCAAGTGACCAGCCTCCCCCTGGGTTGGTTCAGCGGTGGCCCATTTTCCCTCTCCAAAAGCCCAATCCAAGCCGCCAAGCTGAAACGAAGCGTCGCTGGCCTTCTGAAAACATCGCTGGCCTTCGCTCTAATTGGTGGTTTTGATTGGTGGCTTGGTGCTTGGGGAGTGGGTTCCGATCTACCCTCTACAAGAACCAGGGGTTCATCCCCGAACCACCAAGACGAACAAACAATTCAGAGATACGTGAAACATGTAACCAGAAAATTCAAACAGTCAGCATGGAAGGCTGCAAAAGGCTGCCCGCAAATCCGCCTGCGCCAAATGTGTCGAGCACAACAATTGACACCATTGCCAAGTGATACCCAAGACATCTGTTTCAGAGGCCAAACAACTACCAGTCTCCATTTGGCTTCGACCTACGCAACTCCGGCGGCAGGCGGGCACATAAAATGGGCACTTGGACATATCAGGCACGAGTTTTGACTCAGCGCACATCAGTTTCCCCCCCCCCCCATACCTTTCTTCAGACCACCGAAATCTCTCTGAGTATGCCTCAAGAATCCCCCGTTCCGACCCCACCTCTGGGCGCTTCCACCGCCCTTTGGGAGAGGCTGGGGGTTCCTGGCCGAGTCCCTCAATGGGACGGGTCCCACAACAAGAGGGCGTTCCGTTGGGTTTTTCCTTGAAACCAACCCCGAAAAGGGGACCTTCATAAAAAGACCTGGACCCAGAGTAAATTTCCCTGCGCTCCAGGATTTGCAGGCCAAAAATGGGAAGGACCATAGACGAACATTTTTGGCCTGACAGCTCATGACAGGATAGGAGAATACACCTAGGATCCAAATGCCAGACGAGTAAATTGGAATGACCCTCAAGCATTAGTGAGGAGTGAGGAAGCGGAGCTCAAACAGGAAGCCGAAGTGCTTGCGTTCTCTGGCATTGATGAAACCGATGTCGGTTCAGCGTCGAATTGATGCAACACCAGCTCAATGCTGGCATTGCATCGTGAGTCCGTCCTGGGAAGGCCCTCATTGACAAAATGCTCCAACTGGGTCATACACACACGCACACAGACACACAGACACACAGACACAGACACAGACACAGACACAGAGAGACACAGACACAGACACACAGACACACAGACACAGACACAGACACAGACACAGACACAGAGAGACACAGACACAGACACAGAGAGACACAGAGAGACACAGAGAGACACAGAGAGACACAGACACAGACACAGAGAGACACAGAGAGACACAGAGAGACACAGAGAGACACAGACACACAGACACACAGACACACAGACACACAAACACACAGACACACAGACACACAGACACACACACACACAAACACAAACACACTGACACACTGACACACTGACACACTGACACACTGACACACTGACACACTGACACACTGACACACTGACGCACTGACACACTGACACACACACACAGTTTAAACAAATAAAGAAGGATACCCAACCGCACACACACACACACACAAACAAACAAACAAACAAACAAACAAACAAACAAACAAACAAGCAAGCAAGCAAGCAAGCAAGCAAGCAAGCAAGCAAGCAAGCAAGCAACCACCCCCACAAATGTTGCACCTGGCGTTGCTTGGCTATCAACTTAAATGGGTATCTACACTATGAACAAATGGGGGTGTCTCAACAAACCGACCAGATCTTACTTGTACATGCTTGATCTTGCGGCAAGCACATTCAGGCAGCATAGGCAAATTGTAGCAATGCGGCTATCATGACAACCTTAATTGTTTATTGTTTGTTAACTTACGGAAGTTCTTTAAATCTCACAGCACAAGTCTAAAGAACCATGCAAGAAATGTGCCACTGAGCAAGAATGCCTTGCTTGCAGTCCCACCTTACTCTTAGAGACCGGGCAAGCTGAACCAGAAGGACATGGTCATTCTTCCGCAGAACTTGGGGGCCGGCAGCAGCTTTTAGGTGAGCAACTCAGACCAGCGACCGTAGCCTTGCCGCGGGCGCTCGCACGCGCAAGGCGAAAGGCGCGGAGCTTTTAATCAATCGCCACAAAGCCCGTTGCCACGGCGCACACTGTGTGAGCTTGGCTCAGACAGCGAAAAGCTGGAAGATGAAACCCTCCAAGGGTTCAAAGGGATTGTGTCAAGGTCCTCCAGTAGGTTACAAAAAGGGCGCCAACATTTTTTCTGCAGTCTATGTTACTAGGGGGACCCTCCCAACCAAAAAAGAAACGGTATAAGGGGCACTACCGGGGCACCTAGGTGTACATCCCTGCTCGCGAGGCCATTTCACTGCACGAAATGTCCTGCTCTCAACTCAATGGGCACCGCCGCCCGTCGCCCGAGCCGCTCACGCCGCTGGCGCCGCGGGCGCCGGTGGCGCCGGTGGCGCCGGTGGCGCCGGTCGCGCCGGTGGCGCCGACGCATAGCCAGCGGCCTGCGGTATGCGAAACAGAGTAGAAAGCCCCTGCAAATGCCCGTGGGAACACTCGGCAAGCAGCTTTCGCCTCAAGTGTTCTGACGCTTTCGCCTGCGAAGGACCCAACGGTGAGCTTGGAAGGGCACGTCAACCTGTTCCCTGGAAAGCGTGCTCCATGGCCTACGCCCCTCGGATAAGTTTACTTCAAGTCCCTAGTACATGACTTTGCTGGGCGCAGGATTGCCTGAACCACAGGATGGAAGGTGAGGTGGACTTGGCAAGGGGTTCACAGTTCAAAAATGCACAATTTTCAACTGCATGTGTATGCGCTGTGTATGTGCCCAATACGTACGTGTGTGTGCACAGATGTATGTCTACATGTTCAAGTGGGTACAAGCGAGACATGAGCTGTTTGTGGTGATCGCTGGCACGACACACAACTCCATTGACAGTAGACTCGTTAGAGCAAGCCATTTCGAGTCGGTGATACGTACTATTCTAGGGGTAACTTCCCCATTCTTTCCAGGGATCCTTCTTTTCAGGAAACCATCAAACATTCAGGGGAGACAGCTGGTTTTTGAGAAGAACGATGGTTGAAAAGAATGGAATCGGGATCAACCCCTAGAACTATGAGAAGACGTCGACGCCCGGGGCATGAAGAAAATCTCTGACTCGGCGCGTGCATGATGAGCGGGTGGGCGGAGAGGATGTGCATGCAGCAGAGCATGTAGTTCCTAAAGCCCATCGACGATCCTTTCGAAACAAACCTCAGGTCGTGTGTGGTTCCGAGGAACGTTTGAACCTTCTTTTGAAACCCAACCATGTGGCCATGGGTCAAAAGCCCGTAACCCACTAAAATAGAACAAAAATGGGTGGTGAATTCAGCAATCCCCCAGAACGGGATCCCATTGGTTTTGACAACCACAGCCAGGTCCTTTTTGGTTCCACGTTTGTTCCAAACCCCCTCTCCGCCTTCTGCCTCACGTCTCCAAGCCTCAAAGCTTCATATTCCGATTTCTCGCCTCGTCCTTCGATCTCTCTCCTCTCCTTCCCGGAAAAACCCCCAACTTCCCTACCTCCAGTAGAGAGGTTAGAATAAGTTGGTACCCGATTTTTTTTCTGGACTCCGTCGATTTTAGTAGGGGAACCCTCCCTCAAAAAAGGGGAGAGAAGGTCACCTAGCTGGGGGACCTAGTTCCCACTTGGCCTTGAAGCTGACCCTACTTCCGACTCAAAACCTGTTCCCTACTGTGGATGGTTGCGAAATCCATTGCACACCACCCAAGGAGCCCTGGAATGATGATTCGCTGCAAATACCAACAAACAATGGTTTCCCATGGTCTCAAAGCGCCGCTGGATTTCGTCCATCCAGCGTATGTGTGCATACTTCCTACTCAGAATGCCTGCTTTTTTCAGGGCGTTTTCGGGAAAACCGATCGGATTTCCATGTAAAACGCCTCTCTGTTTTTAGAAAATCGGCCTGCCCTGGAAACAAAATCGCGGCCGGGTCGTTGGAGTAGTGTTAACCCCGGATCTATTTATAAAAGAATGGTTGATGTTTGGGGGGTGTCCCCCAAAGATCTACAAACCCTGGTTATTGATTGGGGGGTTACAAATGATGGTCGATGTTTATTTTTTGGGGTGTCCTCCAGAGCCACTGGAGGGACCACCTTGGAGATTCCGGGGCTTCACAGATGGCTCACTCCCAGCGTCAAGGCTTCATCGGTGATGCGGAAGGAGTCATCGTGGCCTTGGGCCCAACCCAAGCCGGGGCAAACGGGAACCCAAGGCGGTCTTAAGTATCTTTGGTATGTTTTTTAGTTGTTGTTCTTAGTTTGTTGTTCTAGTTTGTGTTTTTGTTGTTTTTTAAGGTTTTGTTTTAGTTTGTTTAGTTGTTTTTAGTTTTTGTTCTAGTTCTTTTTGGTCTTTTGTTTCCTGTCTTTCCCCCCGCCCCCCGGAGTCGGACCCCCAAAATGGAATCGTGTCCTTTTGTTGTCCCTGTGAATCCAGCAACTGACACGGACCATGTGTTCGCGTGTTATTCTATCGCTTGCTTCCTTTTCCATTCTTTTCAACCATCGTTCTTTTTGAACACCGGATCCGTTTTGCCTGGGTTTCTGGAGGTGTTCTAGAAAGAAGGATCCCTGCAAGAATGGGGGAGGTACCCCTAGAATCTTACCAACGAATCAGAGATTCCGGAGCCCCCGAGAAAGCAAGATAAACTTGGTTGCTATTGACCCCTTAATAGCATATACTGAGTAGTATATGAGGACCACCCCCGCCCCAAAAAACACAGAAGTCCCTGCATCTCCCACATCCTGCTTCTTCCGCTGACTAACTCTGGGTTGAACATGGGGCGCCCCTAATCATCCTCAGCGGCACATACATTGATCACACGTGTTTTTTTGCGGCACCGGGCAAGGATGCAGAAAGGCAACGCAATACTTCCAAAAGCTGAAACGAAGGATTCCCAAGTAAAGGGCTCATATCATGTTGAGGTTGTACCCCTGATCGACCAGCAAGAAAACAAAGTTCTTAAATACAATTCCCATGGTCAGGTGCGCCTTCACACACTGGAGTCATGGGTGTGTCTCTTTTGAGGGTACCCTAGTTTGTGGTTGTAAACAAAAACCGAAAGGAAAACCCAAGGGAAACAGCAAGATAAAATCCGGGGGAAACCTTTGTTTCGGGGTTTTCGGTTGTTGTAAACGAACACCGAAAGGAACGCCCACCGTTTTGGGGGTGATTGAAAAAACCAGAGACACACCATGCATCGAAAAAGAAAAAAAAGAGGCTTGCAAGAGGTCGCGAAGGGAAGTGAAGCTGTGCCTTTCTTTGGCGCATCCCAAAAGCGAAACCGAAACCGAACGGCTCGAGGCTCAACTCAATCTGGAGTTCTCCGGGTGCGGACATATGGCCATGGTTGTCAAAATCCAAAGCGGTTAGCCCCCAGTGAACCTCCAATTCAATCCAACCACTAAAATACAGCCTAAAATGGGGGGTGAATTCACCTACCCCAAAATGGGATCCCATTGGTTTTGAACCATGGCCATATGGATTTGAAAAAAGGGACTCTTTGGACATCAAAATTGCCATATAGAATACATGTCTTGCCTCCTTAAATAAACCTGAAACCAGACGTTTTATCACGCGCGTTCTGCTCAGTCAAAGTCTCAGGATCTGGTCCATGGATGATTCCACCAAGTGGACCACCCCTAATTCGCTTCCTCTTGCACTCGAACAAATCCCAAAGTGAATGGTTTTTCAACCATCCGAAGAGGGGTGCCAATTGGCAGACATGCTGTGGATGGACGAAATCCGTTCGCACCAAGTTGAAACCAAGTTGGAAACTGGTTGGTAGGAAACAGGCCAATCATTCGAGGGCTTCTGAACGGTGGTGCGAAATGGATGGATTTCGCAACCATCCACAGAACATGAACCACACCCGGCGCTGGCTCCTGTTGTAAGGGCCTCTTGCCGCCGCCGGGCGAGTGCCATGGACCAGTCCAGTGCCCAAAAACCCAGTTCTGCGGGAGGCTCTGAGTTCCAGGCCTAAACTGAGACGCACGCCAAAAGAAAACATATTGCACTTCAGCCACAGCAATTGATCGATCGATCGATCGATCGATTGATTGATTGATTGATTGATTGATTGACTGACTGACTGACCGACTGACTGACTGATTGACGGATCCGTTGATCAATCAATTGATGAGGCCATGCTCATCAAGGGCTCTGGGAGAAGCAGCCTGGGATGGCAAGACACCTACAAGGTCCGCCAGAGGGGTTACAATAAGGGTACCCGATTTTTTCTTTTTTCGGTAGTCTATGAAGGGAACCCTCCCAACCAAAAAAGTTGGTAAAAGGGCACCTAGCTGGGGGACCTAGCCGAACTCTGGGTGTAAGACGCAAAGGAATACTCGGATGCCCAGTGGCCATGGGAAAAAAATAATCGGCACCCTTGTTTGGTTGAGTTTTCTGTGGAACCTTTCCCCCAAAAAAAAGAGGGAAAATCCGACTCTTGAGTTCTTCAATGCTCGCAAGGAATTGGCCAACTGCTGGCTTCAGCCCACGCCTGACATTCAGTGAATATGGCTATATGTGCCATGGCCAAAACTCGTTGGTCATGGTTCCGTGGGAATCCTTTTCGTGGTTCAGTATCCTTACTGCCAGGTGAACGACCACCCCCGTTAACCCCAAGTAACGGGGTCCTTTGGCCATGGCAAACAGTATACGTTAGTTGAGTCATAATCAAAACCTGGTACACAAATGATGAACCCAGAACCATGTAAGGAATTGAAAAGGCGGCCGCAACTATTCCGGCTCTGACTGCCCCTTGCTGACCTTCATCTACCCGGGTTTTGATTGTGACTCAGTTGATCTGAACGCGTCGCTTAGCTGGAGACACATTCCCTAGCGAAATTCCGCCAGAGATCCCCTACGGAGAGCCTCAGTCCTCGGTGCGATGGAAGTGGTTGCGAGTCCAAATGGCTGTGGCTCAAAATTAGACAGGAGGGGCAAACCGCGAGTTTTGGTCCATGTTTCCACTTACCAAGGTTCCATTTTGGTATTCCGGTTTTTTGAGCCACAGCCAAATGGATCCCAGTTGCTTCGAGGACTGGCTCGCGACGTGAGACAGCCCTGTCCCCAATAACCCGTCCCATTATGAGGAAAGTGTTCTCTCCAGTGGTCTAAATCCCCACTGACAGGGGACACCCCCCTATTAATACCCGGCCTTTTTTCAGGGTATCATGTCGAGCCTCTGCTAAAAAAAAAAGTGTTTACCATGAAAAACCAAGTTCTCCCAAAAATACCCTGAAAAAAGCGGGTATGTTGAGTAGGGGGAAGGGTCACATTGAAAGTTGCTGTCCAGTCCGACTCACTTGCCGTCGATCCAAAAAGGATGGACATCAGCGTTTTAAATCCCCAAAACTCGCGAAAGGCCGAAGCGCATGTGGCTGTGCCTTCCAAACCACGAAAACTTCAGCTGCCAGTAGAGACATATATGTAACAAACCGGGTGAGTAGTGCATCAACCTGCAACAAGGGACGCCCTCATGGGAATTCGCAACAGTCACAAAGGCACAGCATTCCGCGAAAGAGAAGCCGTGGGCTGTATTCGTCATACATTTGCCGTGCACCTAGCTGCGTGACATTTTGCAACGCTGCGTCAGCTGAATACTCCATTCTGGCAGCGTCTATCACATCGGATACGCTGCTTGCAAGGAGCACGATGAAATTGGCTTCGGCTTGCAGACAAACTAGGCCAACCACTGGGCCTCACCCAAACATCTACAATTCAGCCAAACCGTTTCCGAATCAAACTCGGGAGGCCCAGCAAGTGTCCCCGTGTCTGCAAGAGGTGCAAAAGTGTCACCACTCACCGGCTGCCAAAACGCGCTTGCCATTCTTCCGCATTGTACGCAAAGACGCGCTTGACTTTGAATGTATCGTCTTTTTGCGAAGGAGACGCTCCGGGGATCGAAGCTTGGGTGGGCACCTGAGCAACCTCCATGTCGACGTCACCCAGAAACTGCGGACGAACGCTAGCAGCACTGCCCATGGCCGGGGGGCGTCAGGCTCCGCCAATCCTAAAGTTGTCTTGGGCCAAATGCACTCGGCGTGGTCTCTCGCTGAGTCTTCAAAGACCATCAAATCTAAACTTTCCAAACTAAGACCTAGAGTATGCCCATGTACTTGATCCATTTCAGCACATTTGGCATGGATTTCTGGGAGCTACTGACTCCCTGACTGCGCCGCTACTTCTTTCCGGGCAGCATCTCAGAGGTGCAACGCAAGCACCGCCTAGAACCAATGGCATCATCTCCACATGCTCAGATATGGCAAAAGCACCAAAGCTATCATTGGACGGCGGTCTGCTCCGTTTCCAAGGCGATGCAAATCAAACGGTCAAACGGGTAACCATTTTCTCGCTTTGGGAACGCAGCTTCAAAACAATGACGTTCTTGCGTTCCTGGGCAATCAAGCAAAGCTAAACCACGCATAGAAAGGTGAGCTACAGGCTACGCTTTCAACTCTCAGATGAGGTGTGGCTCACAGCAAAGCCATAGTACTGGTTAAGAACTGGTATTGGCATACCGATCTGCCGGCCAAGAAAGCGAAATACGAAGGACTCAATCGCGTGTCACCTGCATTCGCATGGCTTTCCGCAAGAAAACCTGGTTCTTCGGGTCTTCTGACATTAGTGCAGTGGTCAGTGGTCAGTCAACTAGTCGACGGCTCATATGTGTATTATACATACAGTGTATATATATATGTATATATCCCCCCCCAAAAAAAAACAGTATATATATATATATATATTTTTTTTCTGAAGGTACCCCCTTTTGGTTGGCTAAGGGAACCCTAATGGACTTTTGTGCTTTGCCGCAGCCCGCATGCGAATGGCATCTTCCCCAGTTTGCCTGGCTGTAGAGGTCAATGGGAAACCCCTCCTCCCCACCACATCAATTGCCAGGCAGCTGGGCGTGTTCCTAGTTGAAAGGGGCAATGGCGGAAACCCAAAAGGGCCGAAAAGTGTTAAAACGCTGGGCCAAGTCTGGCAATGTGATGTGGTCTCTTCTTTGCAGGGCTCTCATTTGATTTCCGCTTACATCGCCCAAGGAAGGGCTCACCTTCTGCCGGAAAAGGTGATGTTTAAGTTTAAAACACCAAAATGGTGGACATATCAGGTGACTCGAACTGCTGCCTTTGTGCGGTGCTTTTGTCTGAGTCCTCTGCGACCGTTCTGAATGGTTTTGCGCCAGATTTGGGGCTGGGTTTCGTCCTCGGCTCCAAAAAGAAGCGTGCCGAGAGAAGCGTCTGGAAGCGAGTCTAAGAAATTCGCCGATGGAAGGGCTACGCCAAGGAAGCAACCGAAGCAGAAGGATTGGAAGGCTCCATGCCCGGATGGAACCTCCTTAGAGGCTCTTAGAACTTCCATTTTTCTTCGCCCCCTGGGAAAAAAAAGTAGTCATAGAGTCATAGATTCCCTTTAAAACCGACAGGGAAAAAAAAAACATATTCTTCAGCAAATGGAAGAGAAGAAATCTGAGACTTTCAGGGAAGCCGGGCCGAAAGTATGCAAGATGCCCTCGACAAGTTGTCCAAAGGGCTGGATGCCCCGCACCTTCCGCGTGCGACGTGGCTTCCGCTTCGCACATCTTCGGCTTCGTGGCTTCGGCTTCGCAAACTCCAGCTGGAACTTCGTGGGGGTTCGAAAACCAAACGCCCATGAGGCAACCCATTCTTTTGGGCCAAACAAGTCGCATGGCAGAAGCCTCCCGTGTGCGGCGTGCGGCGACAGTCTTGGCACTGTGCTCGCGGAGGCTTCCGCGCACCCTCTCGATTTCGGCGCCCCAAGACGGTGTTTGCTTCATAGGGAGTTTGATCGCTGCTCTCTCCAGTTGATGATTTTCAAGGATTTGTGAGTCTTTTTACGGTTATGAAGTTATGATCTTTAGTGTTGGTTGCTTCCGTTTTTTTCAAAAAAAAAGAGTTTGGGTGAACCAAAACTGCAGAATTCCACAAACCAAAAGTGCCGGAAGATTCAGCTCCGCTGGGCCGGGCACGTCAGGGAACCAAGCGACAAGCTGAAAGCCGATGGTTGAACTTGACAACACTCTTTGCTTCTTTCATGGAAGGACACTTTAAGTCTGGTTGGACGCTCAGTTGGATGGGGGGACTTACCAGTGGAAGAGGGAAACAGAAAGCGGGCGGAATCTGAACGATTTGTCGCCAACCAACGAGGCACCGAGCCGAGGTGCAATAGTTGAAGAGCCACCCCTCTTGGCGCTTGCTCCCAGGGTCGCTCGGGCGGAAGCCGCAGGGAACCTGCGCGCGCAGCCTCGGGCAAGCAGAGAGGACCCCTCCGCAACCCTCCGAACGAGCCTATCGTAGGGCAGAGACCCCACACTGTGCGAAATCCGTTCGCACCACTTTGAAACCATGAAAATTCATTGTTGGTTGGTATCTAAAGGGGAATCATCATTCCAGGCTTTCTTAGGTGGTGCGAAATGGATTTTGCACCCATCCACAGTGGCTGTCCGCTGGTGGAAAAAAAAAGTGGTGTTTTCTGCGCCGACGCCGCGAAGGGGACGTCTGCAAGATTGCATCGGGCCATCCCCTACTCCAAATACCCGCCTTTTTTCAGGGTATCATGTCGACCCTCTACTAAAAAAGGAGGTATTTACCATGGAAAACCGATCGGTTATCCCAAAAATACCCGCTGCACGAGGTGGTCAAGTGGCGGTGTATCGCGCGTGTTTCTGTTCAAAACCCAATACCTTGCCTGGGCAAACTCAAGCGACCTCGGCCAAAATTTGGCTTTGCAAGCTTCTGAAGGTTACGGTGGCTTAGCCCGTTTTTTTTCAGGTGGACGAAGTAGTATGCAACGAGCAACCATACGGGTTTGTCTCGAAATAGATTCCCCTTGGTTTTCCGTTAAATCGATTCTGGAGCACCCCATGGTTTCGCTTCATATGTCGCAGCCACATGTCAATTCGGAATCGCATGACAAGGAGCCCGGCGGATTCTTTGGATTCTGAAAAGAGGGTGTTCGACGTGCTCCAACAGGGGGAGCCGATTGGGAAGGTTGCAGGATTGGGCAGGGCGTGAATCAAGAACTGAGGACTCCAGTCCAAACCATCCAGCCCTCCTTTTCGTCGCTTCGAAAGGGGCCAAATGGGGGTTCCCAGGTTCTCCCCCATTTTGAGGGTGAATGTTTGGATTGCTGGTTTGGTTTGGCACTTCCTCATTTACCCTCTACGAGAGCCAGGGGCTTAAATCCCCAGTTTCCACCACCTGGTAGGCGGGATGGGTACCCTTCCTTCCAGTTGGGAAATAACCCGGACATCTGTAGTAGGGAAGTCCCGTGGTATCACATGAGTGACCCAAACCCAATTCTCCACAAGCACCCATCCAAGGGGTGTACGGGTGTTTTTTCAGGAACGGCCCAAAGTGGTGGTGTTCCTCTTGGTTTCCCTTTTAAATCCACCAAGAAAGGGGGACCAACTCGACAAAGACACACCCACATGTGCCTGCCTGGCCACCCATCAGATCGCACCATTTGGATGTGGGATACGTTCACCCAAAATGGGTTGCCCTGGCCAATGGAAACCAGTTGCCTCAAAGCCTGCGGTCCATATCCTGGTATCATTTTGACTCCAGGGCTGTGGGAAAGACCACTTCCGTGATACAACAAAAATGACCTCCCAAAGACCAACCCCCCCATATAAAGAGGGGATTCCCTTGTAACACAGAAGTGGTTGGATAAACCCCTTGTGATCCCACAACCCATTTTGACCCATACCCATTTTCACCCAATGGATCCGTGGCCCCGGGACCAGTCCAAGAGCTTCTCCCTCAGCGCTTGCGCACCTGAAGCTTCCAAAGGCACCCTGTTCCAGGGCTCGGTGTCACAACCCTCAGACTTGAAGACCCCACCCGCTTTAGCGATTCTTGCGATCTTGTGTGTTGTGGTTTCTTCACCTTTACAGGGGTATCCGCGGATATCCTGCTGATCTGCTGGGTTGTTCGAGGGGATCTCTTCTTTTTCTGCCCAAAGAGTCTGATGCTTGGCAGGGATGCTATGGTCGCCTCCCGTCCCTTTGACGATTGAATGTGACTTTTCTCGTGGATTCCGATTCCAAGGCATGACAACAAGCGGCAACCTAAAACCCCAACTCTCCCTTGCACGCACCATTCATTTGGAGGTGGCTTTTGGGATCTGAAAACTGGGAAGGGAAAAACAAGTCTCAGCAAAACGGGGAAAACGGGGAAGTGGGACGTTTAACATCCGCCAGTCACAGCAAAACGGGACAAACGGGGAAGTGGGAGTTTTATCTCACGAAGTGACGAGGTCAGCTTTTCACACAACATGCCATGGGATGGCAAAAGCATCGAACACAAACACCTTTGGTCAAATCTGCGTGGTTCGTGACAAAGGGAGCCCTTGGTGTCTAACATATTTGCTCTCAGGCCAGGGGGTGTTTTGACAATACAAAAGGTCTGAGTTGGGACCATCCCCAAGTCAATCGTGCGGACAAAATTCATTTAAAGCACCGCCAATCCCAACTCGTGCCAGGATTTTGTACAGGCGGAATCCAAGAGACCTCAAGATCCAGCGGCTAAACCTTTTCTTGAGATACCAATTTATACACGTTTACATTATACATATATGTATATATATAATATATATAAACCTACAATATATATATATATATATATATATAATTACACACCCTTGTGGCTGGACTCAGTAACAGGCGACTGCCACACTCCACGGCTGGCTCACGGACAAATAGTGAAAACTCCAGGCGAAAAGGAAGGCCAAGTGCCTGACGTGCAAATCCCCGATCCTGACTACCATGCAGATCCACAGGACATCGAGCTCGTCATCTGAACACAAACACCCCCCGCCCTCCCCCCCCCCCCCCCAACCCGCCCCCCAAAAACTTACCCCTTAAAACTCCAAGCCCTGGGGAAGTTAATCTTTTAGAGGTAAGAAAAACCCCGGCCCCCAAATCCCCCCAGAAAGCCCTCGGTCGCCGCCAGACATCGGCCTTTCTGCTGGGACTCGAAGACCTCCTCCCGCAGCGCGGCGCGGATGCCGGACGGCGTGTAGCCCTGGCCCGAAACTGAACCGAAGAACTCGCCGCCGCCGCGTCAACGGAAGCTGGTGGGTTTCAAAGGGAGGCACGGCAGGGCCCTATTGAACCACCAGGTAAACCAGGAATCGCCATCTATGTTTCGAGCAAAACAGCCAAAAAGGACACCTATGCGCACGGCGTTTTGACTTTGGACCAAGCAACTTGGATCTTGGTGATGTCCTTGTGTCGCCCTAACAATTGTTTTGTGGAGTCTCTTCAACTGTTCTCACCAAACGATCGCGGAAGTCAACCATGATTCTTGACCCCTCGGAACCAAGCGGCCGGAGTTTGCCAGTGGCGGGGCGTTGCATGAGCAGAATGCCAAATTGCTGCGTTCAATCAGCCGCACCTGCACAAGACCCGCCCACAAGGTGGGTTTTCCGTTGGGCTTTCCTTTAAAACCACAAACATCTGGTACCAACTCAACAAAAAAAAGACCCTTATTGGCCTGCAACCTATTCCGATCCTGCTACCCCCCCCCCCCCCCGGACACCAGCGTGAAAGTACATGACACGATTGCCTTGTCTCTATGTGGGTAAGTAAGGGGACGGCTAAATCGACATGGACCAAACACCCCCACCGAAATGATGCCCTAGTGTCCATGTAGGAATGCAGCAGGGCACAAAGTTGTGCCGTGAACAGCGGACAATATCATTTTCTCTGCGAGAGGATGTAGAAAAGTGGCTGGCCCCACATGTGTCGCCTACGTCACACTAATAAGCCAACAATGGGCCACCAAACACATGGCAAGCTGCGCATTGAGCATTTTGGGCATGTCATTTTTGGGCTGGTTCTCCTTTTGGTTTCATACGACTGGCGGGAATCGATCCTTCGAAACCTGGAGACGGTGCCACTTCCCGCTTCCCGCCAAAGGCCTGGAAGAGCCTCCTCTGCAGCTCCTCCGGCCTCCCAAAAGTGATTCGCCTAAAGGCATCCTTTAGACAAAAAATCCGGGGAGGGAGGGGGGGATGGAGGGAGGGGACTGGCCATTGCGAAACAGTCTGAGTGCTTGGCCATTTTCCGCTCGTTTCCAAGGACCCGGCGCACCCTGGACCAATCCGCAGGGGTGGCAGGCGGGAGTTCCTTCCCTACCGGCCTGCAGAATGGGAGCCACACTGGGCCCCAAACCCCGACAAACAACAAGCAGGGCCACAACAATCAAGGCTTGTCTCGAGAGTGTACAGGGACCCCCGACAAAAAAAGAGGAAAAAAGTGCAAGCACTTTGCATCTCTTCAAAAACAACTCGCCATGCTCACCTCTTTTTTCCGTGATCCCGTGGTTAGGGCCTCCACGCTTTTTCTCCAAACTTGCCTCCAAATTTGCCTCCGGTCTCGTTTCCAAGGTCGGTTTTTGTTGGGTTCTCAGCCCCCTCGAATCCTCGGAATCTCTCTCTCTCTCTCTCTCTCTCTCTCTCTCTCTCTCTCTCTCTCTCTCTCTCTCTCTCTCTCTCTCTCTCTCTCTCTCTGGTCCATCCCCTCTAGGTCATCCAGTAGAGAGGTTAAAATAAGGGCACCAACTTTTCCCGCAGTCTATCTTAGCAGGGGAACCGTTCGAATAAGCTTGCCCCTTTTTTTCCGTAGACGATTTTCCTAGGGGACCCCTCCCCCCAAAAAAGGAAACGGTCAAAGGGCCCCAAAATCGCCGCTCGCCTCACGCGGCTGTCCAGGGCCAGGTAGGTGAGCCGATGGGGGTCCCTCCTGGCCGAGATCTGCTCTGAGAGCCCAAAGTGCACCTCGGGCCGCCGAGTCGCGAGCCGCTGGTCTCCTTGAGACCAGACGTCGTCCAACACCAAAGGAGAAAAGCACATTGTGCGTGGGGGTGTGTTTTATGGGCCCATCTTTAAAATGAAACCGGACAAACAAAACAGCTTGCGTTGCTTCTGATGCTGTTGTTGCTTTTTGTTCTTCCTTTTTGTTTTTCGGCCGGAGGAAAGCGTGTCTTAGTCTGCGGTGTTGTTTTGTTTTTTCACTAAATGATGTTGTTTGCTCAACACCTTTAGGAGTTGAACACCTGAAATGAGTGGTTTCCTTTCGGTGTTTCGTCCAAAACCATCCAGAGGAGAAAAGCACATTGTGCGTGGGTGTGTGTTTTATGGGCCCATCTTTAAAATGAAACCGGACAAACAAAACAGCTTGCGTTGCTTCTGATGCTGTTGTTGTTTTGTTTCTTCCTTTTTGTTTTTCGGCCGGAGGAAAGCGTGTCTTAGTCTGCGGTGTTGTTTTTGTTTTTTCACTAAATGATGTTGTTTGCTCAACACCTTTAGGAGTTGAACACCTGAAATGAGTGGTTTCCTTTCGGTGTTTCGTCCAAAACCATCCAAAGGAGAAAAGCACATTGTGCGTGGGTGTGTGTTTTATGGGCCCATCTTTAAAATGAAACCGGACAATCAAAACAGCTTGCGTTGCTTCTGATGCTGTTGTTGCTTTTTGTTTCTTCCTTTTTGTTTTTCGGCCGGAGGAAAGCGTGTCTTAGTCTGCGGTGTTGTTTTTGTTTTTTCACTAAATGATGTTGTTTGCTCAACACCTTTAGGAGTTGAACACCTGAAATGAGTGGTTTCCTTTCGGTGTTTCGTCCAAAACCATCCAAAGGAGAAAAAGCACATTGTGCGTGGGTGTGTGTTTTATGGGCCCATCTTTAAAATGAAACCGGACAATCAAAACAGCTTGCGTTGCTTCTGATGCTGTTGTTGCTTTTTGTTTCTTCCTTTTTGTTTTTCGGCCGGAGGAAAGCGTGTCTTAGTCTGCGGTGTTGTTTTTGTTTTTTCACTAAATGATGTTGTTTGCTCAACACCTTTAGGAGTTGAACACCTGAAATGAGTGGTTTCCTTTCGGTGTTTCGTCCAAAACCATCCAAAGGAGAAAAGCACATTGTGCGTGGGTGTGTGTTTTATGGGCCCATCTTTAAAATGAAACCGGACAATCAAAACAGCTTGCGTTGCTTCTGATGCTGTTGTTGCTTTTTGTTTCTTCCTTTTTGTTTTTCGGCCGGAGGAAAGCGTGTCTTAGTCTGCGGTGTTGTTTTTGTTTTTTCACTAAATGATGTTGCTTGCTCAACACCTTTAGGAGTTGAACACCTGAAATGAGTGGTTTCCTTTCGGTGTTTCGTCCAAAACCATCCAAAGGAGAAAAGCACATTGTGCGTGGGTGTGTGTTTTATGGGCCCATCTTTAAAATGAAACCGGACAATCAAAACAGCTTGCGTTGCTTCTGATGCTGTTGTTGCTTTTTGTTTCTTCCTTTTTGTTTTTCGGCCGGAGGAAAGCGTGTCTTAGTCTGCGGTGTTGTTTTTGTTTTTTCACTAAATGATCCTTGATCTTCCTCGACCTTGTTTTGGCGGGGGGCTGTAAAACATGTATTACACCACCTGCCAAATTGCGGTGGCCACCTGGTTGTGGGCGGTTTGACATGTGGTTGCTTTGGGGCAGGTGCAGGTATGTCAAATGCTGCAGGTATTCCTGACAGAACAAGCCCTGACATTATGTTTTCCACTCATAACATCTTTTGGTTTCTAGTACATTTCCCAATCAGTTTGACCCAATCCCCCTTCAGTAAAGTGATGCGGTGGGAAGGTGGCTGAGAGATGCATCTGTGGCCCCGTTTAAGAGCCGTTTGCTGATTCCTGCATGGGTCTCCAGCCATGACTGTTTTCACTCAATTGGACAATCCTGGTGTTTTCATGTGCATCAAAGAACAGTGGAAACCCTTGATTTATATAGTCACAGGGCTTGCAAGTTTGGGTCTTTGTTGGCATTATGCCTCCATCCGCCTGCCTGCCATGCATCGAGCCCTGTGCCATCGAGCACTTTTGCCGGACTCGGCGGTCGAAGAGTTCGATCGTCCTGCTGCCCTGTTTGAGCAAACTGATGCTAGCAGTGAAACTCGGCAGGGGCATCTTCATTGGATGATCTTTGATGGCTCAATCAAGAAAGCCTGTTGCACTATGAAGGGACCCTTGCCAAAACACTTTCTCCAGAAAAGGGGTGCTTCAAATGGTGGCAGCCTCCAATCCACTATTGAATTAATTATCCGCCGTGTGGCAGAAATCTGCATTTGAAGATATACCACGAACACATTTGCACACACTTGTGGCTTTCAAGTCATCAGCTTGTGCTGCCACCATGCAGCCTCAGCGCAAGTGGCCCTCACGGCCTGCCATGCGTGAGCAGCGCGAGAAGAAGGTGCATGAGCTCAAGGCCTGGAAACTGTTAACCTCAGACAAGTTGCTGGTTGTTCAGTGCAATCAGGCCTTCTATGACCGGTTCTTCGATATAGCGAACTACAAGCTGGATCGCTTCCAGAAGTTAGGGCACAAAGCGGGTCTTACTTCAGACCGAATCTCAAGGGCACTGGACAGTGGCAAGGCGCTGCTGACATTGAACAAGCATGATCACTGATAAGCCTCTGCAGGTCCCGGTCACGTTCTCCTTCGTAAATCTGCAAAGGGGGGCAATCCTAAGCGACGAGGCGCAAGATTTCTTGAACAGTATTTTACTGCCATGCTTGTGCCCTGCGCAGATTGAAGATCAGGAGAACTATGAGTTCACTGGGCAATTCCTGATGTATTTCGGGCTTCGCCCCCCCGCGGGAAGGGACTTGCAGGCGCATGATGATGGCAACCCACCCAGCACAACCACCAACGCCTGTTTAGTTTCGAGGTTGTTTTTGTTAGGCCACCCACTTGCAGCTGGCCAATTCCATGTGCCTCGAAGTCTGCGCAGGCTGCCCTCGCAATTGTGGCCTTGGACCAGGGCTTGATCAGCAACCGGGCCACAAAGCAGCAACGACTTGCTAGGATCTCAGCCACAACCAGAATTGTGTTCTTGGAACTGTCAGAGCGTGCCCAGGCATGGGCCCGTGTTGAGGGGGACCTTCACCGCTCCATCGTGTCATATGCCCTGGACCGTGCCAGAAGGAACAAGCACGCAAAGTGCCCCGCATTGTCAATAGAACAATCCGCCTGCCAAGTTATGCCACATGCAGGTACCCAAACATGGCGCGGCTCAAGATGCTCATTCAAGAGCTCAGAAAGGACCTTGTCAGCCAATTATTGGGGAGGTGGTGGCGCCCTTTCCCTGAACAGAAAACATTAAATGTCTAAATCTGTATGAGCTCTCATGGCTATTCACTGTGGAGTGCGTTGCATGTTTCTGAAGGGGCGCGCTTTTGGAAGGCTCAGGATTTCTGATTATGCTAGGAACCCCATTGTGGACTGCAGGAAGCTCGGGAGTTTGAACACGGCCGACCGCCCGTTCTCGTGGACCCTTCTGACATGGAGACATTGCCCATGCCGAACTCAGGACGTAGTTTGGGCGGTTGTGCTTAGCTATTATTATTGGGCAGCAATCATGATGAGTCAGGAGAACAAGACCACCCACTTGACTTCCACAAAAAGAACAACGTGCATTACATGGAGGTGGAAGGAGGTGAAGAGGAAACAGAAACAGAGGATGAGTGTGTGACACCAATTGAGTGCCACGGCCTAGGGGGACCTGTTGACGAATTGGATGAGCAGGACTCACAAGCCACACTAATTCTGGGTCAACATGATCTGGATCGCACAACAGCCCCCAATGCCCCTGCAGCTAATAATGCTGATGAGGAGCAGCCCGCAGCAGCAACGACGTCCCTCCAGCCCCAAGCTCCCCTGGCAGCAGAACATGATGATGCACAGCAGCCTGCAACAGCAACGATGCCCCTGCAGCCCGAAAAGCAGCCCGCACATGCAGTGGCGCCCCTCCAGCCCCAAGCCCCCCACGCAGCGAATGCTGAGAAGCAGCCTGCAGCAGCAACGATGCCCCTGCAGCCCGAAAAGCAGCCCGCACATGCAGTGGCGCCCCTCCAGCCCCAAGCCCCCCTTGCAGACGCTGATCAGCCCCAAGCCCCCCACGCAGCTAATGCTGATGAGAAGCAGCCTGCAGCAGCAATGCCCCTGCAGCCCCAGAATGCAGTTGCGCCCCTCCAGCCCCCAGCCTCCCGTGCTGATGATGAGAAGCAACCTGCAGCGGCAATTCCCTTCCAGCCGCAAGCTCCCCTGACAGCAAAAAATGATGATGCACAGCAGCCTGCAGGAGCAGTGGTGCCCCTCCAACCCCAAGCCCCCCTGGCAGCCAACAAGGACAATGTGGAGCAGCCTGCAGCAGCAGCAGTGATGCCCCTCCAGCCCCAAGCCCCCCAGGCGCCGAGGCAGCCTGCCGCAGCTCTGATGCCTCTGCAGCCCCAGAAGCAAATCGCACATGCGCCCCTGCAGCCGCAAGCCTTGCATGCAGCTGCTCCTGCCCCTGCAGCCAGCGCCGACGAGAAGCAGCCTGCAGCAGCGACGACACCCCCCCGGCCCCAAGCTCCCTTGGCAGCAATCAGTGATGAGGCAAAGCAGCCTGCAGCAGCAATGATGCCCCTGCAGCCCCAGAAGCAGACCATGCAGGCAGTGGCGCCCCTCCAGCCCCAAGCCCCCCTAGCAGCCAACAAGGACAATGCGAAGCAGCCTGCAGCAGCAATGGACAGCATAAACTCTGAAGCCCTCCCAGCAGCCAACAACGATGATAAAAGAAAGCAGCCAGACACAGCCAAGCTGGCCTTTCAGGCACATTGGGATTGTACATCTTCTAAACCTCTTCAAGAACAGGGCATGTCCAGTCAGACTCCCCAAAAAATTGAACAAGTCAGAATTCCTCAGCATCACTGGCCAGTGTTGTCAGTGGGGTCCTTTCCTTTGGGAAAATCATAAAGGAACCAA